TTTGGACGCGGTCCATAAAACATCCTTCAGTACTAACATGTACATTTTAACCTGATGTTATTGGTAGTGCAGAGGGCAGAAGGAGTATAATTCATGCACCCGGCAAGATAATAGAAGCCACAAAAACAGCTGGGTGGCTATGCTCATTCGCGGAGTGAAGAATTCATAGGTAACACAAAGTGAACGATTTTCGGATCGCAAGACGATCAAGTACTGTGTTGAGATGTTTAGTAGACAAACGAATCTGAAAGACCACCTATTAAAAATTCGTTTGGTCTTGTTAATTGTATATCTTCACTGTCAGACAAAATAAAAATATGGAAGAAACAGTTAGGGGAACAAAATGCAAAACTAGTGGATTTGGCTCGGCAATATATATATATATATATATATATATATATATAACCAAGTTCCGGTAAATTTAGAGCCAAAACACAGAATTCAGGCATTGCATTTTCGAAATGCGCGGTTGTCTGAGGTTATCCAAACGAGTAGACGCGATAAATTGCCTTTCCGAAATGGCTTTCAAGTATGACGGTTACCCACATCATGGTTCCAAAAAGGTGAGGTCACTGACGATAGGTGAAAACAATTGTGATCTAACTTCAGGCGGAGCGATGTAACCATAACACCATACATCACACTCCAAAGGATGCAAGCGGATAAAAATTTTAAATGTCAAGAGCACGGATACTAAAGCTGTTGCTACCAGAAGTAGCGAGTGTTAAATTTTTCGCAACAATTTAAAACGAATAAAACACTGCAGCATTCGAGATTACCCAAAGAAATAGAGGCGGGATACTGCCATTTGCCTCAATGTAATAGACAATATCAAGCTGAACAACGATGTGTATACCATTCTTAGAGCGCGAAATATATTTGTTAGTTAAGTTATGAATGGGGGCCGAAACTATCGCTACGCTTCCAAGCCCGATTTCGTTCAGTTTTCACTGCAGAAATCTCAAATATTTGTTCTTTAAAAACCAAAATACCTTGAGATCTAGTCGGAAATTTAGAAATGTGATGATATTTCAAAGCAGTCCACACTTGCAACATGAACATCAACGAACACATATGCAAATGCCTTGCCCTTACCAAAACTGAACCACTCCACCTGCGTCCTCTTCGAACAGCCAACCAGAGTGGAGGTTAACACCTCGTATTTGTCCCTTAATGACACAGATGACGGTGATGAATAGATAGCCGCAATATTCCTTGTCTTAAAAACATTGCAAGATGGGCCGAAATGTGGTAGATGACGTTTTCAAGATCCAAGTGTAATATCCTGGCAAATATATGCCACACATAAGGCGTATTATTCAGGCTTCATGAGGTGGAGATTCCTAGTACCCCCTGTGTTCTAGACTTAGGATTGAGATCTTTCAGTTCGCTTAACTTTAGCGAACCTGATAGTCGTTTTGTAACAAAAATTATTAAATAGGTTTGGTCCAAACAATTTTTAAAGTTTCAGAAAGTGAAGGTTAATTGCAATCACAATTGGTATAGTTCCTAGATTAGAACACTCCAATGGTACATGCAGCAAGCTGCGTTAATGTGATTTGTATGCCACTGGAAACGCCCAAAACACATTCACAAAGTGCATTGCTTTTTCAGTCGCAGTTTCATATGGATATAGGTGCAGCAGGGTACATCGTAACCTTTTGTGATTGAAAAGACTGTGTTGTACGCGATGCATCACAAACTGGTGTGGCAAAAACATTACAGTGAAAATTACTCGTTAAAGGTTCAACTAAAAGCCAAATATTATATGCGAGACGTCGAACGCGTAGTTACATTGACCAGTTTCAAGAGAGATGAGAGGATACTTTTTACCATTTTAAATGTGCTACTACGTGTAATATACTTCCTGAAGAAATGCAACGTACTGAGTACCTGTGCAATTTTACGAAAATCTGTGAGATTTTCCTGTCACGTGAGAGAGTGACACCAATCCTAAGCGATCGATTTGACGACAACAGACTTTGTAAAGTAGGACAGGACCGTAAGTTTTTCTAGGGAATATCGATCACGGTCCCGGTACAGTGGATGATATATCGAGGATGACATAAGCCGCCCACCGCGCAAACAATTGCACTACTAGTAGACTAAGTATTCACCGATAGGTGATTGAGCGCGAAGTGTCGCTTCACATCCTTTCGTCACCAAATAAGTGATGGATTCTCTGTAACAGCAATTCCAGCAACTGCAGCAGTATGCGCCAACTTGTCAATGTATTTCGTGGTATCTTGACGCAGTGAAATGTACTGTGCCATCAAACCGAATTACGCATATCAACTTCACGTCAGACGCTATGATGAGAAAACTGTTATCTATATGCCCACAAAACCTCTCTCTTGTAATTAGTGGAATTTGCCGGAATGAGCTTGTAGTTACAGCCAAAAAATTGGCCGAATATTTGTCACGATTTCTCCAGCACTGATTGAAGGAGGGACAAATTTCTGCGGCATGATAACATGTGATGATAATCCCGATTTACAAAGGTATTCGTTCCTATCTAGCTAACTAGCATCAGTGACCCTTTTCCAGTTCCTTCAATATTCGTTACTGGTGCATGTATGTTTTGCCTGGACAAACTTGGCTGCATCATGCAAGAGTACATCATTTCGGTACATCTTTTCAGTCGGAAACGTTTGTGTACTACCAACCTGCAATTTTCAAGGTGCAGTTGGACCGAAGCAGCTGAATTTGGTGTAGGAGTTGACGCCGTTTACTTTGACTTCTCAAATGTGTTCGATGGGTTTTACCATCATACCCTTATATCCACAATTCAGCGTTGCCGCATTGGTGGTCTTCTTTTAGGATGGATTAGCTAATTCCTCTTCTACCGGCACCTGCGATGAAACGTGCGTGCATCCGTATCGAATCCAATACAAGTGGAATGCGATGTGTCAAGTGCTTCGGGTTCGATTACCAGTCTGTTTCTGATCTGCATTAACGCATTACTTAGCCTGATCTTTTCCAACAGCCAAATTTACGCCGATCGCCTCAAGTCTGTAGGGCAATCAAACTGCCAGACGACTGCATACATGGCTGCTTTGACTTACACTTACGGCTTTATCCTTACTAAACGTGTTCACTTTCTTCGCTGTTTGCTTTCATCTTGCGTCTACCTTTGTACCTTTAAGCTCTCACTTTCATATGGAAGTTGAAAGTGAACTAAATCGATTTTTGTATCTCACATTTTAATTATTGTGCTATTAGCCTGTTACATTCGATTGCACAAACCTGCTGTTTTCACCGAAGTGAAAATCTAAAACAAATTGACTCGTTAGACACATTTGTTCCGACCTTCTAAATAGCTTAGACTTTTTACACGTAGATAAATTGGAAGCTTTCATCCTTTTCAAGTGTCATTGTTAATATGAGCGGTTTTATTAGCGTAATAACGTGGATTCTTCTTTCCTTTCCTGTCAACGTTCTCACTTGCTTCCATTGGAGCAGGCCATGCGATCCACAGTAATAGAAGAAATAAGTGAGAATGAAGAAAATGCTTGCAGCGGATCAGGTAGATGACAGCGATTTTGAGGCGTGTGCACGGTAGTGGAAATACAAAATCGTATCGTCAAGATATACCGACGGACAAGTTGGGAGCATTTGAATGTGCACATTATTTCCAATAACGGTGTGCATTTCAGCTTCTGCTACTGAATGTCTGCACTCATAAAGTTTTACGCTATATATATACATATATATATGTATACACTATATATACGCTATATAGATATTGAACTGTACCTTTCATGATTGCAGCCGCTTTTTAACTCGAGCATTTTATATATATGTATATCTTTATATATAAAACTACAGATATTCAGACCAGAGTTATCACCACTTAAACACAATGATACGAAATGATTCATATCAAAAGCTTGCCGACCATTATCTGCAGCATGGTTAAAACTGGATCTTCTGTATTGTTAATCGCACAACATCGGGCTACTACAAACTTGATAGGTGTACACTATTTGCCATACGAACACAGAAAAATAGTCTGGGAGTTTTCAGTAGATACTGTCATTGTTTGCGTGCTGACCTCATTGTGGCTTAAGATTTTAAGAAACGTCAATCATTCTTACTATCATCTGTTTGCGCTGGCATAAAAGCAGACTGAGACGACACCGTCTCAAACTGGCACAATCATACAGCCGGCTGGATTGTAGACGGTATTCCTTCTAGCTGCAAGTTTGCAGCACATGTAATTCCCTCCGAGAAGCTGTTATTTTCGGCAGTCAAACTAGCTGTGTTTTAAGGTCGCATAGCTACTACACTGGCCATGGTGCAGAACATCGTATAGCACACACAACCATTGGGACCACTCAGAAAAATAAACCGCACCAACCCAGACCACATTAGCTGGAAAAACCTAAGGCAGAAACTTTCACTTTGCATACAACCGTAGGTATAAAAGTAATGCGAACAAAAGTTTGATCGACAAACCCACAGTTTTGGTTCTTAACGCTTTTAATGCTTTCGTACTTCTATTTCTTACTTCGCGTGACCAGGTCGCGTGGGTACTAATTGGTTGACCCTGATGTGATCCGCTCGTACTGAATTCACTCGCTCAGATTACGGTTAACGCGGAGGCATATTACCCTGGATCAACGACGCGCCACGGAAGGAAGACCCGTGGGAATTTATCCTACTGTCCCAGTCCCACTTGAACTTAAAACTGTTCACCTCTTCAGTTTTTTCAATATTCATTTAAAACCCCTCACCTAACATTTGGCAGGACAAGTTAAGAGTCAGCTATTTTGTCTGAAACATATCATCCACCACTAACCAAGCGGTGAGTAAACCTCTCCATGTGAGTATGTCCACAAATAGAATGGAAAGCCGCGGATGCGCTGATTGGCCGCCATGCTGAGTGATATCCAGTTCAACTCCTTTGCAGTTCATTGGTCCGTGGATGCATTTTATGGGCGACGGTGTGAGCACTTGATCCATAAATGGTGTAAATTCGTCGAGTTCGCTTTGTGACAATGTCCGAGAAGAAGATTCCGATATTGCACTTGAAGCCTGAAAAGGAGCTGTTTTTCAAAGGTGAGTTGATTCAGTCCTTTTTCGGTATATGTCTCGAATCTGCCTGCTACTTACCACAGCCCACCTCTACGGATGCAGTGTGTCACCAGCAAATAATTTGTGCACTAGTGAATTTCAATACGTAATTGGTGCAGAGCTGCCTTCGGCATCAGGTGGCTAGTACAGTTGTACTTGGTGATTGGGTGTGTGCTGGTGAGGAATCCCGGTGTTTCGAGCGTTCTCTTCATGTAGGACGCGTTGTGCGTACAACTTTGCACCTGTGAGCAAAGCTTAATTTTCATGACGCAAACGATATCTGCATGACATTACTCACCGGCTTGCCGTCATGCGAACTGTTGGCGCTATCTCATCGAATGTGGACGGGTATAACACTTCAATCGAGCCAACAATTGGACAGCCTGATGCAGCAAACACTGTCAACAAAAAAGGGAGATATCGGACGGCCTGTCTGTAACTCTCAGATGTTTGTCGCAACGATAAACTGGCCAGTTAGTCACTCGATGTCGACTACCACCGGTCACGTTACCGGCAGCAGCAGCTGTGCAATTCAGGGGACGAAACGTAACGACACCTGAATTCATCAGCTCGATTGTCTTATGCAGCGGTGTATATGGTCTCAAGTTGCTGAGGATGATGTTGCATTCTTGATGCTTCTTCACCGCAGTTGGGCTAAACCAACTTACACTTAAACTAGGTCTTTGCAAGCTGGCTAAATTTCATTCCACTTTATTTAGTTTGTTCTGCCTACCTGAATACTCTTCTATTAACTGGCCACATTGCTTACATTAATTGCGCTTATTTTCGGTAACGCTGTTGCGTTTTGTAGCATTTTTAACTAACTTGTGGACATTTTTTCTTTATCGCGGATTTGTTGCTAGCCAACTTAATTCATATGCTTATTTAGCTTAGAGTTATGCCACCGTATTTGTATGCATTATTGTATTTGTTTTATTTCATCTTGTCGTTCCAGGTGATTGGCTGATGTTTGATATCCCCGGTGTGGCTGCGCTTGATGTGCATGTTGACAAGGTGCCTACCTGTCTATTACCCACTACCTCGTCCATACTGGCTCCAGGAGACAGTTGGTCGTTGCTGGAGGGGACGGGGTGTACAGTCCTTGTGGCCGTGCTAGGCTCGAAGAGTGGTTCCATGCAATCAGTGTGGAGCGGACTACGGTCCAGCCACCGCCTTGTGTGCGCTTGATTTCCCAAATACAGCGTGCTTGTGTTTGCCTGTGAAGGAGTGTGGGCCGGCTCCGTTGATGAAACGTGGCTCCCATCCACATGCCTCCCGGTCTTATTCCTTGGGGTTTACACTGGATATGGGGTATGTGGTTGGGGCTGTGGGTGGTGCATCGCAAGTCACCCATGGTCCCTCTGTAGGCGCAGGCGTCCTGTGGCTTGCCACAGTGACAGGCAAATCCGAAACCGAATGCCACCAAACATATGGTCTCAAGCGTCTGTTCCAACCTCTTCGATCTCGGTACGCTATGAAAAGCTCAGTAGATCAGTTGAGTACTTGGATCGGACGGTATCAGTTTGCCTGTTTTTGTGCATCTGTGCCTGGAACGTGCACTGAATCGCATAGGTGTTACTTGAAAAAAGCGCTTCTGTATAGTATGGTCCAACAATCAGAATGCCGAAGGGAAGACAGCTTCGTGGAGAGATACATCCCTGCACTGTGATGTCTAGGTATTAATAGCAGCAACGACGAGCACAACTCGGTGTTCACCGGGTAAGAATATTAAACTTGACAGTTGCACATGTTAAGATGCTGCTGTTTGTTTCATTTCGTACTACAGAACATGTTTAACAACCTTCTTCGTTGTTTGACTTGTTGCATCAGATCCTCTCCTCAACCGCCCCTTTCCACTCGCTTTTCACATACTAGTCTCGTCAATCTCATTCAATTTTGTCATCAATTCATATTCCAGGCCCCTTCACTGATATTGTCGTGGCCAAACTCATCATCAAAAATGACCAAACATTTTCTATGTGCTGCAAGATATCATTCACGATGCCGGAGCGGTACTACACCCGCTATTCGAGATGGACGATTTCTTCGAACCATTTAGCAACTATCGATGGTATGGTTAATTGAACTAATCGATCCGACCGTTGCATTTGCAGTAGCTCTTCTGCCATTCGAGTACGAACCAACAGTGGAATCCAATGAAGAAATAATTATTCAGTGCATTGTCAAACCGGTTGACAAACAAAGTGACCAATTGGTATGTGGTAGCTACCTAATTCTTGATTTGTGTGCAAGTGGAATGATGCCGATCAGGATGATATTGTGGTTTACAGATTGAAGTGCATTCCGTGGATACCCGGCGAAATCGTTATGCATCCGAGGGGTGAACTGGTGTTTGAAGGTACCCTGTTTCTTTGCCCACTCTATTATTTTACAGGTCCGTTTGACAAAGTCGCAGCGTCTACAATTCGTTTGACCAACCCATCGAATGATCAAATGTACTTCCATGTTCAAGCCCCGTCTCGCGACATCTGGGTCCTTCCAAACTCCGGTGTCCTTGCACAAAATGAAACAAAGGAGATTATCAGTAATTGCTGCAACTTATACTTTAAGCTTGCGCTTTCCTTGAAGTCCACTGCAAACCATTCGATATAAAAACGACCGATCCATCACGAGACCGCCTCATTATTAAATCTACACCTCTCTGTTACTTGCAAACCAAACCCGAAGACGCGGTGGTAAGTGATGTGCTTCTCAATGTAACTGCCTGAACTTGCCGTTTTGCATTGTCCAGCTAGCCTCAATGGAAAAAGTGGACTCCATGCTCAAGTGCATATTCAAAGCGCCTGAATTGTCAGCGTCGGCGGTAAGTGGCTCGTCACCTAAATGTTAATTCATCTCCGCCAATTCCAACCACCTTTCACCTGTCTTCTCAAGCCCCCAGCTTCTAGTTCACGTTGCCCATATCTCTGGCTGGAGACGATACTAGCCGAGTTATTGGTTCTGCGCGAGGATGTCAACGCATGCATCCCCGCATTTAAAGATTTTCAGGAAAACATGTTCAGGTTTCTCTTACCGTTTAATAACTCTTGTTCCATTGTGCAGACACCAGCGTTGACATAGAGACACGATGATTTGCGGCCGGTTATTCCCGCGTCGCCGGAATAAACGTCGCACTATCCGACTCGTCCTTCCGCCCCATCCCCTTAGCTAGATATTTCAACATACACTTTGGACCCATATACTGATTGGGTGCAAGTTTAGATGATAGTCAGGCGGTGCTGACACAATCGGCATCCCGATCCAACTGCTATTGAATGTCATCTTAGTCACCCTAACCCAGTGGGATGTTTCTTGCCGTAAAAATGCACTACTCTAGCAGACCAAATATGGATACGCATTGCCTGGGAGCAGTATTCCTATGGAAGTCTTACTAGTACATACTCAGAGTGACACGAGATTCCCGCTATCATTAATCCGCTACCTTGAATCTGCGGTACTAACGAACTTGTCACTGCTTTTCAGGTGCAGGGGCCCAATCGAGGTGCAACGTAACCACGGTCGCTGGAGGTGCCACACAAGTCACATACAACCAACCCAGAGCCCCCAACAAATATGTACCCAACCGCACCCTTTGACTGTGTTTGTGCATGTCACCTTTGCTGACCGCGGGCATTCTCCAATCACAATCAATATTTTATAGACAAAATTTCTTATACATTTTGCAGATAAACTTGCGCGTACTGTCTGGCTTTTCATTTTGCCTAGCTATTTAAGAAAATGCTAACCAACAACGCTTCTGTTTACTTTGACTCATCAACAAGGCTCGCTGGACCATAGTGACTAATTGTATTGTATGAAATCCGTGATGCGCATGTACAGTCGCTTGGTCGGACTGGGTAAACACGAAATCGCGAGCCCCTTAAGACTGATAATGGATAAAAAGGGAAATTGGTGCAAAGTCCTGAGTACCATTAGCGCTCCCACCGTTAACTTTCTGACACAATACTCGTTTCTCGAGGCATTGCAGGTCTACTGAAGTGTGGTATCATGACCTCAGTACTGTTCGTGAGTGAGTGTATATTTGCGCATATATGACTGTATGAATTACAACATGCATGCCGCTCGAGTTGGAACACTACTTACTTTTAGATTAATGTCACTTTTTTCCTGTCACCGGGGCCAGATCGGACGCAATTTCTCACTAGGCGAAGCAAACCCAACACATACACTCCACCACCGAGTTTGTCGTTATTTGTGATTCTCAAATCTTTGTTCTCTGTGCAGAATGTCTGCATACAAGGGGATGCGCATCCTGTAACTACTGACATGTACCCGCCATGGGCGCGGGCTTTTGTTAAATCCAACAAATAAATATTTGATCAGTTGCGTATCCGATCCGTTAATGCGAATAAATATTGGTATGAGCAAATCCCATTAGTCCGGTGTTAATCGGTATACTACCACACATATCAATTTGTCTAAAAATCACACTCGGGTTGCTTGACAACTTCACCTTTTTATTCCGTCCTCAGGACATCGTTCCGCGTAGTTGTGAATACCAACATATTAGTATGGGAACCCACTTACTAGAGTTATTCTAGTGATATGGGGGCTTTTCAATTGCTGCAAAACCGCAACCCATGTTACCGATGGTAACCAATAGGTTTACAATGACAAGCTATTCCCCATTGGAGTCGAGTGTCCCGTAGAATCTGCTCACTGACATTCGACATATTTTAGTATCGTTGAGAAGTGCAAATTGAAGGAACGGGTACGTATTTTCGCCACCCACTGCTTTGCTTTTTAAACCGTTTACGCTTAGCTGAATCTAACAAGAGTAAAATTAGCCTCAGTTTTATTCCTCATAGAAATTGGTGTGTGAGGGAGAGACAACCCAGTTAGGTAGCACTTGAACCTGTCCAAAGTTGTCTGAGTATGCTTAACTACCCGAATGGCACAAATGGAGTAGCGGCCTTTGAGCTGATTGTGTGGAATTCCGCACATCATTTACATCACTTGTTCAATAGTGCATAATGGGATAAAAAGCATAACTGTACACGACCCACAGAATGGATACACAAACAAAAATTGCAATCAAAATGTTCCAAAACGGAACGTGGAGCATCAGTGTTTAAATCATTGCAATTTATCAAACTGTTGTGTAGCGTTTATCACTAAGATGAAAGTCTGTCCTTCGAATGTCATCATGTCTGATGCGTACACCACATATCAGTAATGCATTCCGGTGATAACAGATTCTGAATGAGTAAAAATACATTCTACAATGCAAACGGGAGTGTTACTTCATTAGTTTCAGACGGTTGCCTCGGCTTTGTTCGTAAGGGGCTAGGTTCAGCAGTGATGTACATGGATGCTGGCTTTCGGTTAGTATCCGGTATGTGAGAATAAGATCACCACAAAGCTGACGGTATTCTGAGGAGAACACATTGAGCACACGAAGAAGCAGTTCGTAACTTAGATTTGATAGTCTAATGCGTGGCCTTTGTGGCTGTGCTTTGGGATTGTTCCAATAAACCAATGTCTCGTTTTGATCATGGTCTCCAGGCCTGAATTACATATCCAAGGTGAGGACGAATATAAGATTTAATCAGCAGTGGTACTAGCCTTCGCTCAAAGATGCCGAGAGCCAGCCTCAAATGGCCCAAGTTCAAGTTCGCCACACTTGCTGCTTTCGAACATTGGAGCGAATTGCCCAAAGTATCCTGCACGATTATACCTAAGTCATGTTCACTAATCACGAGTTGCAGTAAGTGTTGCCCCAAAAGGTGTGTTAACGAAGCTGCTGCGCACCGTCAGCAGGTGGCACTTTGCAGCGTTCAGTGAGAACTTGTTCGCTTCTGCCTATTCGTTAAACTGATCCAGATCATCCTCAAGACAGACACGGTCGGATTCTTAGTCAATTGCTCTCTACATTTTAGCATCGTCTGCAAATTTTTGCATCGGGGTTGGAATATCTGTTAGAAGAACATTAATGTTAACTAAAAACAGTAGTGTGGCCGATGACGGATCCTTGTGGTACACCACTGGAGACGGCTACTCTAACCTTGTTTTCTCTGTCATGTAACTAGTCTTCTAACTAGGTGAGCGGGGAATCGTTGATACAATAGGCAGCAAACTTGGAAGAGAAGACGTGATTGACCCTGTCGAATGTTTAAAAAAAGCTAAGTAAACTTTATTTATGGGAACTCCTTCATCAGTCGCCCTGGTTCATGGGTCCGGAGTAATCAGCAAACTGGTCAGACAAAATCGTCTACATCTGAAACCAAGTTAGACATAAGCAACTATTTGTAGATTTTCAATGTATCGTGCCAGTTCGTCTGCGATTACCGATTTCATCACTTTTGATAAAACAGTAAGGAGAGTAATAGGTCGATAGTTCGCAGCATCCGTTCGCTTACCTCCTTTGTATATTGGAGTGATAATTCCATATTTTCACTCAGATGGGAGTGTATGGGACTTAAGCATTCCCTGGAATAAGGTTACAAATGGTGCTGCTATGGTGGGAGGAAGGGCTTTTAGTACTCTTGGGAAGATCATCTTGATTCCAGGGGTACTGTACTCTCGGAGATACTGTAATTCGTTTGCAACTGTATCTGGAATAAAGGTGAAGCTGAATAAGCCAACGACATTAGTTAGGTGTTGATAGGGCAAATGTTCCATGGGCCAAATTGCAGGAGTAAAGCGTTCGCGGCATCCACAACAGCAGTTGCTAGGACACTGGCCGCCATGAGCTTTGGTATTCCGGGCTTAACCATTCTTTTGCCATTCACAGATCTGTATAGCGGTTTGGTGTTACTAGTGAATTTCAGCACTATATTCTGCTGCCATTCGTACTTATCGACTATAATAATAGCGAACTGCAGTAGTTCCTGCTGGCTTTGTAATTTTGCCCTGTGGTATTACATGTGCATAGCGAATGTTGCCTCCCGTTCTCATCTCTTTTGTTGATCCATTTACATGTTCTGCTTCGGTTCCACGTACTGGTCCAGCATGATGCTCCTAATGGTACAACTTTCGATGCCGATTGTATGACCCAGTTAATTATATCTTTCAATTCATTCAACGCGCCATTCGCTGAACTGTGCATCAGTAGGTCCCAATCAACGGTTGTTATTAAGTTGTGCAGCTTAAAGTAGTTCGTAATAGTTCCTAGAGTCGCTCTTTTTTTATCAACAGTACTGGCATAACACACATAAACCAATGCTAGGACTGTATGGTCGCTACGGCACAGTGGAGGATCGTATACTACTGACTCAACTCCGGCACAAATAGTGTCGGTCTGCTGAAGTTTACAGAAACGGTTGTTTGCGCGGTTGGCTGGCCTGAGATAGATACAACCGAGACTGCCTCATCTATATCTGACGACTTTAATAATTGAAGGAATATTCTTAACAGTAATTCTGGTGGCCCTAGTTTTGTGTTGTCATGCCATGCTTGGATCGCCACTGATACCACTTCGGCCGCAACCAAGGTAGCTTTCAAAATTGGTGGCTCGCCTCCTTGGTAGTTTTTGGAGGCAACTAGACGGGTGACGTCAAAAGGCACGATAATTTGCATGTCGTAGAGCTCTGTGATGCACCTCCATTCTTCAATGTCGTGCAACTGCTGTTCACTGCTATCGTTATGCTTCAATTCTGGCACACCAAGAACCAGTACCACGGATTTTCATCTCATTTTGACGTGACGAACTAGGGTTGGGCTTCCGATTCTGTCTTTCTGCCCATGGACTGTCAGGAAACATTCGGCACCAACAGAAGAGTTCACTAGAATGTGGCTAGCTAAGAACAATTAACAATGAAATATCACGGGTGTAAAAAGCATGTGCATGACAAATTCCGTAGGATGTTTGAAGTAAAAATTAAAAAATTGAAGGTTTATCGAATTAGTAAATCGTTATTTCAAGCGTCCACCGAGTTAAATGCACTACTGCGTAACGATAGTTTGAAGTGAGAATGGGATGTGCACACGCAAAATAGTATAGGGTACTGTTATATTTCAGTAATTGCGTGAGAAATAAAAATGGAAACGACCACAGTCGTTTTTTCCTTCATTTGACAGATATGATAGGTTAATCCGGTTTAGCTATATCCAGGCTAATCACATGGGCACTTGTGCATGTATCCCATTCGCCAAGTTGCGGAGATGTCCGTTAAGCACATGATTAGGTTTGTGTTATTTCGTCCTCCAAATGGAACGGACTATATCAAATAATGCAAATTTGAAAGCGTTTCATTACAGCGTTAAGGGCAAGGAGAATGTGAGTCGGAATGGCATTCCAAGCACTGGACACACGGTGGAATAAAAGGTTTCGTCGACAATCAAGTCTACTTTACTGCGTAGCAAGTATGAGCTGATGGTACGTTGGCCTGTGACCCAGTGGTCTGCATGTTTTTCCGTCAACAAAGGTTATGCACCACAAACCTACTGATTGCACGAGGTAGTTGGACCGAAGTGGCCGATGATGGGGTCGGAGTCGACGTCATCTATCTGGACTTCTCCAAAGCTTTCGACCGCCTTGATCACCGCATCCT